CGATATGTCAGCTCTGGAAGGGTCTAGAGCCTCCATTTTTGCACCCAGGTCAAAGTCTCGCGGCCCTCTATCATAATCCAGAGTTTTGAGAAGATTGGAGAAACTTGATTTTTCGCCCGAAAACGGAAAAAAACGAAAGGGGTAACACTGTCGTTTTTTTTTCGGGTCGAAATTTTGAGTTTCGATATCTCAGCTTTGGAAGGGTCTAGAGCCTCCATTTTTGCACTCAGGTCAAAGTCTCGCGGCCCTCCATCATAATCCAGAGTTTTGAGAAGATTGGAGAAACTTGATTTTTCGTCCGAAAACGAAAAAAAAACGAAAGGGGTAACACTGTCGGGTTTTTTTTCGGGTTGAAATTTTGAGTTTCGATATCTAAGCTCTGGAAGGGTCTAGAGCCTCCATTTTTGCACCCAGGTCAAAGTCTCGCGGCCCTCCATCATAATCCAGAGTTTTGAGAAGATTGGAGAAACTTGATTTTTCGCCCGAAAACGGAAAAAAACGAAAGGGGTAACACTGTCGTTTTTTTTCGGGTCGAAATTTTAAATTTTGATATCTCAGCTCTGGAAGGGTCTAGAGCCTCCATTTTTGCACTCAGGTCAAAGTCTCACAGCCCTCTATCATAATCCAGAGTTTTGAGAAGATTGGAGAAACTTAATTTTTCACCCGAAAATGAAAAAAAACGAAAGGGGTAACACTGTCGTTTTTTTTTCGGGTCGAAATTTTGAGTTTCGATATCTCAGCTCTGGAAGGGTCTAGAGCCTCCATTTTTGCACTCAGGTCAAAGTCTCACAGCCCTCTATCATAATCCAGAGTTTTGAGAAGATTGGAGAAACTTAATTTTTCACCCGAAAATGAAAAAAAACGAAAGGGGTAACACTGTCGTTTTTTTTCGGGTCAAAATTTTGAGTTTCGATATCTCAGCTCTGGAAGGGTCTAGAGCCTCCATTTTTGCACTCAGGTCAAAGTCTCGCGGCCCTCCATCATAATCCAGAGTTTTGAGAAGATTGGAGAAACTTGATTTTTCGCCCGAAAACGGAAAAAAACGAAAGGGGTAACACTGTCGTTTTTTTTTCGGGTCGAAATTTTGAGTTTCGATATCTCAGCTTTGGAAGGGTCTAGAGCCTCCATTTTTGCACTCAGGTCAAAGTCTCGCGGCCCTCCATCATAATCCAGAGTTTTGAGAAGATTGGAGAAACTTGATTTTTCGCCAAAAAACGGAAAAAAACGAAAGGGGTAACACTGTCGTTTTTTTTTCGGGTCGAAATTTTGAGTTTCGATATCTCAGCTCTGGAAGGGTCTAGAGCCTCCATTTTTGCACTCAGGTTTAAATCTCATGGCCCTCTATCAGAATCCAGAGTTTTTAGAAGATTGGAGAAACTTATTTTTTCGCCACAGAAAAAAAACAAAAACAAAAGGGGTACCACTGTCGTTTTTTTGGGGGGGTCGAAATTTTGAGTTTCTCTGATCTTCTTAAAACTCTGGATTCTGATAGAGGGCCATGAGACTTAGACCCGAGTGCAAAAATGGAGTCTCTAGACCCTTCCAGAGCTGAGATATTGAGATCCCACGTAGCATTTATGCCATTATAAAAATCTCAATATCTCAGCTCTGGAAGGGTCTAGAGCCTCAATTTTTGCACTCAGGTCTAAGTCTCATGGCCCTTTCGTTTTTTTTTTCTAGGGCGAAAAAATAAGTTTCTCCAATCTTCTCAAAACTATGGATTCTGATAGAGGGCCATGAAGGCTCTGGAAGGCTCCATTTTACATAACAATACATCACGCATACAATAACGAATGCCATAGAAGAAGTCATCTTAAAGGCATATCAACATGTCATGAACACTACTGAACACTAGGTGGTCATTACAGAGTTCCATCTTTTGGACATTCATCATACCGCATTGGTTTTCATTTCTTGTCCTCAAAACAGGGCACTAATCTGTTTATTTTTAAGTGTTTGTAGTATTATTTTACACGGAAATCAATTATTTATAATTATTAGTTTAATTAACAAACTAATTATATGAAACTATTATCAGTACACTACAAATAAACTGGTATGCCTTTATTAGTAAATTAAATCGAAGCCTTTATTATTATACTTTATTATTTTTAAGACATTTATAAAAATGCCTTCTATATTTCTTTTCACTCCACTGTACTCCACCACAGGCGACTGGCACGTACGGAATTGGCACTTGGTTATTGTCATTTCACCAGACTTTTGAACAGACAGTGTGTTTACTTATAAATTGAAACTGAAAATATTCAGTAATATTTCTATTTCCTTCGTAAGTTTGGTCTTAAATTTAATTTAGAAGTGGTATTAAAAAGTCTTATAAAGTCTTAAATTGAAATTGTTTATACCTGTAGCCACCCTGTATCTACCTTAGCAGACTTATCACAATCATGCTTTTTGTTTTGTAGGTAAGGGAGGTACCAGGAATCACCATATTTCGCTCTTCTGCCACCATGTACTTTGCTAATGCTGAACTTTATCTTGAGGCCCTTAAAAAAAAGGTACAATTTGTTTGAAACATGGTATGCAATAAAATATTTCTTTTTCAGTACTTTGGAATGTCACAGTGGTTCTCAACTAGGGGTCTGGGGCTCACTAGAAAACATCCAAGGAGGCCTTCCATACAAGATGGCTCAAAATCATTTTTGACAAAACATAAACAAAAACAACTATGCCAAGCTTTAAAATATTTTATTATGTGCAAATTGTGAGTAAAAAAAAATAAAACATGTCTGGATTTTTTTTATTTTAATTCTAAATATTTTAGTCATGTTTTAATAACAAAAACTAGGAGTGCCCATAAATTAAAATATGTTGTAAAAATATAACTAGGCCTAGGGGTTCTTTTGAATATTTTTGTGGTTAGAGGGCACCGTTAGACATCTGTCTTTAAAGATATACCTATATTATTTTTGCTAATGCATATTAATTGCTAATGTTTCTGCAGAGTGGCCTGGACATTGGGAAAATGCTCACCTATAAGCGCAGACAGGAGGCCAAGCAGAGACGCAGAGAGAGGAGAGCAGAGCGAAGAGCCCGAAGAGAGGCTAAAAGACAGGTAGAAGATCTCTGCTAATGGTTACTGGATAATGATATGATAAACTGCACCATTAACATGACCTAGTCCTAATCCTATATCATATACAGTATGTACAGTCTGTTCTAAAACTTTGTGATATTACAAAGGCAGGATTAAAGGTGGCATGGGTGACGCAAAGGCTGTTACAAAAGATATCGGTACCCAAGATTTTGACCTAATTTTGTCCAAATTATAAGTCAATCCCAGAATGCATTTTTATGAGCTCAGTGAAAACATTATACTTATAAAAATTTGGGACCATCAAAGTAAATTGAAACCAAAAAAACAAAACAAAAACACACATTTCATTTAACACTGAGAAGCGTCAATAAAAATAGTTCTTGCAAATGGATTATTCTACATAATATTTGTGTGTGCTGTGTATATTCAAGCATATTAGCTTAGCAACATAATGTCAAACTCAAAACTTTCCTGTGCAGATTGCTATTCGTGTGCCAATGTAGACCAAAAAAGTCACTTTTAAAATAACTCTATAATGATTTAGTTTCTATGTATCCAGAAAGGCAGCATGTCTATGGTCAAACATCTAGTGAATTCATCTGCTCAAATCTGTGAACCGTCACTTTCATTCTTCCTTTACAGAAAAGAGCTCTCAGGGAAGCCTCTCAGCGATCCAAAAAGTCTGTTTTTACAGTGGAAGATGAAGTTAATGGAGACATGCACAGAGAGGTAGAGCTTGGCTGGAGACAGAGGGAAAACAGTACAGTGTTTGTTATACCTGAGACAGCACGGACATCTGATGGCTGTCACACCTGGATGTACCTGAAGGGCACTGACCCTGAGACTGCCACCCTGGGGTCAGTGTCTGATCTACATGACGGGGACACCACCACGCTGGACTCCAGCAGCGAAGACACTTTAAGCAGGGATCTGGAGAGGGTTTCTCTGGGATCCCTGGGGAAGTGGACTTGGGACATCCATTCCATCATATTGGATTTCTCCACAGCTAACTTTGTTGATACAGTGGCCATTAAGACATTAAGAAATGTAAGTGCTTCAAAAGTCCAACAGAGAAAAAGGTGACTTTGCATTGCAACCAAGCTCTCATCACCATTTCTTATTGTAGATATTCCACGATTTTGGAGAGATCGATGTGAATATTTACTTGGCAGGCTGTCAAGGTAATGGGTCTATCATCATTTCTGTTACAGTGGACTTCAAAGATCAGCCTTCCTGTTTATTATAATTTGTGGCCTGTTCATTGTTTTCACTCAAGCACTGATGGTGGAACAGCTCGAGCGTGGCGGCTTCTTCTCTGATGTCATCACTGAAGGTCGTGTCTTTGCTACTGTGCATGATGCTGTTCTGTACTGTCTCAAGCTTCGGGGAGCTGTGACCATCCACAGCTATGAGAATGCTCTGGTAGGTTCTATATGTACAGCATATGTGCTCACCAAAATCACACTTACAGTACATATACATGGAGTATGATTATGGAATTATTGTTGAATACTATCACATACATAATTTCTAACTTCACATTTCAGGATATAAGTGGTACCAGACTATGAGAGAAGACTGATTTCTTGATTGATGATTCATCTTGTTCTACAAGCTGTATACAAAAAAGTAAACCTCTCCAAGTTACAGTATGTCCATGCAATTTATGCTCAAATAACATTTGCCTACTGAAGCATGTCTGATACTTGTAGAAAAAATGTAGGTGTTTAAATTAACTATTTTTGTGTTTTATTTTTGGGGGGTTTATTTGACGATTTGAAGGATTATTGTAAATTATACTGATTAGTAATATAAACACGTAATTTTACATGTAATGTAATTGTATTTATACCATTTTTATAAATTATAAAACATTTATAAAAACAACAGACAAAATGTTAAAATAGAAAATGAAAATGTGTTTTTAAAGAAAACAACAGTCTCTGACTGATCATTTTAATAATTTATTCGACAAAGTGATTCTGTGCATTTTAACAGCAACAATGTGATCCAACAAATAAATAAAATAAGTTAACCTCAGTCAGTCTTTGGATGCATTGCAATTAACAAAGTAAAACATAATAAAATAAATGATTAAAATCCAAACAAATCATACAAGACTGTGCAAGTTTACATGCTTCTTTTCAGGAATTTCTGAGCGGGAATAAGTGTAAGAAACGTCCTTGCAGAGATAATAGATGTTACATAGGTTAAAACTATTACTAGTTATGATAATACACTAACCTGTACTCCATTGACAGAACTACAACTAGTTAATGCTGAGTGCACCTGCAGATAACACCAAAGTGTTCAGTGATTTTGATGTCAGTTAAAATGTCACTTCAGTAGAAAGCAACAATATACATAGTTTACACATTCTTTGGTCACATACACACTACATCCTCCCACAATTGTGAAGTTGCTTCAGCACTGACTGTGCTTTATTTGCTGGAGGTTCCTAAGTTATAACTATCATCCCACCAGGGAAGAGATACACATCTCAGATGCTCTTCTATTTACTATCAATGCATTGTACGGCCTTTGGAAGGTACAGTAGAGTGTCAATCTGTATGTAAACAAAGTTGTCAAATATGGCTGCATTCCCATTTAATGGGAATAATAATCCCTTCAAATATCTACATTAGGAATAGTAGCATTGTCTTTCACAGTTGCATAAAGATCAGGTTGTTCATCCCTGAATCCAACCCAACACAGGTTCCAGTTCAGACACTGGGAACCGCTAAAGGCTGGGTAAAGCTCGTTCAATTCTGAATACATGGAAATGTTGGTAGGGCTACATTTCTATAGTGTGCATTTGTGTGGAAGAGTGAAATGATTAAAATATACAAAGGATGAGTGTGTTTTTGTGTGTTTGTTGGTATGAGGTCAGTGGTTCAGGGTGTTTGAGTGATGCAAAGGTGTGTGTGTGAAAGAAAAAGTGAGGACTATAAAAAGATCATTACACGGAAGAGAATGTGTATATACAGTATGTTCATTGTTGTACCTGGATTTGTGTGTGTTTACAAGTCTTGGTGTGTTTCAATATGTTGGTCTGAGTTCAGTTCTTCTTGCTCTTGTGTCTCTTGTTGGGAAACAAATTGTTGGTAGCGTGCCTGTCGCTGGTAGTCTGGGTCAACATTGATCCAATTATTGGCAACCCACTTAGTCCCTCGTGTCACCACGCAGCCACCATGAAGAGAATACTCATCCTGTTCACCCACCCAACCTACAGAGGGCAGCACAGAACACCAATTACAGCTTATGAACGAGGCTTTATCAGGACAGTGAGGTCTAAAATTCTAACAAATTCTGAAATTGATGTTAATATTTCAGTTAGACTTTTTATACTTTTTAATACAAATTGGGTGGAAATATTACACCACCATTATTTCATTCAACGTTATTCCAAAAACGTTACATTACAAAATAGCAAATAAGTTATATTCATTACCTCTACCATCGGAGAGATAGTTATACCAGAAAACTGCCGTCCCCTTAATGGGCTTCACTCTCAGGTTGCCTTTATCACAATGCTTCCTGGTGTCCAACAGATCCACATCGTTCTGTATCAGTGACTGGAAACACAAATACGTGCACATAATTATTGGCTGTCGTACATGTTTAAATAGTGTAAATCTCTTGCTTTTAACTCACAAATACACATGCAAAGACATTTTATTCAACAGGACACACCGCTTCTTCATAAGTCCTATTATCTGCCACTGGAAAGGTGGTCTCCCCCCCTTCTTCTACATTACTAAGGTAAAACAGAACCGTGATGTACCTGTAAAAAAAAAAAAAAAACAAATACTATGAACTTTAGGGGGATAAAAACTGTATTTACATAATATTAACCCCTATTATGATATTTTAAACATTCCTAATTTAGTTTTAGAGGTCTCCTATAATAGGTTTATATGCATCTAAGGTAAAAAAAAAAAAAAAAAACACTTTCATTTTCTCATAATATACATTGCAGCATCACTTCTTTTCTCACAATGTCTGAAACGGTTCGGTCAAAGATTCGGTCTCTCTAAACCGCTCCTTTCCGAGAGCCTACTCTGCTCTGATTGGTCAGATGGCCCAAACTATTCTGCTTACAGCAGTTGGAAACGAAACGCACATTACCGTATCTGAATTCCGGCTCTGAGGGTACTAGTATACACAGTGATAACGACGGCAGTAGTTTTACCGTATCAATTCAAGCCCGAGTCCTCATCCTTTGGAAACGCTTTTTTGGATTTTCTTACAGAAAACAGCATATTCTTGAGATATCTAACAAGCTCTTCCAGGCTTCAGCTACAACTACAGTGTTTGAGGAGGGTTAAAGTGGGCAGCCAGTGAAGACTATTGGGTGGCATGCAGACTGGAGTTACAATGGAAAATAACCATTGTACACTGGAAGAGTACTGGAAACTTCCCAGACCTTTTACATTCAAAAAACAGCTTTATTAAACACTACATGAAAGGTAACATCCAAAAAAGCATAACATGGGCTCTTTAATGAAGTATCACGTTGCTTGTGTGACAATGCCTAATTATTATTTATGACATTATATGATTACACATTGTAAAATATTAATCTTAGCCTCGGTTTCAGGGCTAGACTTAAGCCAGGATTAGGCTTTAGTTCAAGTAGCTATTATAAACATGCTTTAGAAAACATTCCTGGTGTGCATCTTGAGACAAAACAATGGCACTGACATATTTTTAGATATGTCAGTGCAAGTTGCTTTCAGTTAAAACAGCTCAGACATGAAGCTTAAGCCTTGTCTCTTTGGCTTACCTGCAGGAAGTCTGGAATGGAGAGGTGGTATTGGCAGCAAGGTGAGTGTGTGTGCAGGTTGTTTCAGGGTACACAGGCCCACTGTCATGATGGGCGTGGTAATGGCCACCCTGCTCATAGCGCACTACTTGTAAAGGTTCACTTAACTCCACCAGAGAGGATGGCAGTCGTGTTAAACGAGTGACTCTTTAAAGACAGGAAGAGATATATAGCATTATTACAAACCGAGAAGGAGTGATAGAAGAAACACACGAAGAAAGCAAAGCTTTTTAAAAGCTGTATGTTAGCACACTTGATAGATGGACCATAAGAGAGAAGATAAAACCTTTTGCGGAGGTCTTGAAGAACCTGATGTGCTCCCTGACCCTGGTAGAGCCAGGTGTGTCTGCTGTTCCTCACCAGCTGGCTCCTTTCTACCCCACGCTGTAGCAGAAAACGCTGAAAGGCATCACTTCTCAGACGCCCAAACTCCTCTAAACTCAAGAGACCTGCATCAAAAGAGACATATACTCAAAACATATACATATGGACACCCAAATTGGCAAACTATGATCTATGTCTATTGGGTGTCCGACCATTTAAGATCTCACTCTTAGGTCTTTACCATTTCCATCCTGATCAACTTTTAGGCCATCATAGATTTCCTTAAGATTCTCAGACGTTAACCAGATTCCATCTCTCACTCGAGAGTGTGTCAATATCTACAGCAGAAAATCAAGTTACAGATTACACGTAAAGTAGAAAGATTTACACATTACATTTTCTCAGCATTATCAAACTGCAAAACCAAGGATCAACAGACCTCATGAGGTTGTAGTTGGCCATCTTGGTTGAGGTCAAGGAAATTGAAGATTTCCTCAGGACTGAGGTTAAGCTGCTGATTAAGTTCCTCTTGACCTTCAGGGACCATAACCTGACTCTCCATCAAACCCTTCAGCTGAGCCAAACGCACAACTACACCACACTCCTCCTCTGACAGAAAGCCAGGGATCTCTGTAACACACACACACACACACAGAGCCACAATGATGCTTCAAACACAAAAACCCTAATAGCAAACAATGCATGCATGCCAATAAGACTAGGCTTAATGTTTAATTTCATAAGATCAACCCCAAAAAATTCGAAATTCTAGCAGATACCTTTCATTCATTTTCTATGCATATTCGGTATTATGAATAAAAATAATGAGTTTTTGTTAACAAATTTTTACATTCAAGTTTTACACAGTGGCAAATGAAGAATCTGAAAATAGTGACAGAAACCTTGGAAGCTTTAACTAGGCCTTTAATGGTGTCCACACACAAATAAGTGATACAAATGTAGTTTATTATAAGCACACACTGTGATTGTCATCTGTTATAACTGCTGTGGACCCACTAAGAATGAGTATAAGTTTTAATAATTGTTTTAATTCTATGAGAAAAGTGAAGTCGACACCACAGCTATATTATTGAAATCACTGATATATATATATATATATATATATACACACACATTTTTTTACAGCTAATGAAAGATAAAAACACTGACAGCCAATCAGAATCCATCCAACTTTAAAGAGCATGAGCATTTAAAGTGGCAAATGACAGTGCACTCTTATAATAAACAAGAGGTTATTGTCCATTTGTGTGGACACACCAATATAGTTATCATTATTGTTCTTGGTGTGAATGGGCTATGAATATTACTATTCTTCTTTAGCATCTTATTGTCCTTACCAAACAGAAGGGGCTTCAAACTGAGTGTCTTCATTTCATGGACTTTCCCTGGCACCAGTGACACTTTTTGGACATGTCCCACCTAATACAATTTTAATTTCATTTTAAAAAGACTGTAGTTTTTGGAAGATAAACGAATATAAATACTCACAGATCTCCAAATCATCTAATGTATACTCCGGTCCTTACCCGTATTCCTTCAATGCGAGGAAGATAGATATTTCGAGGGAAGTCCGAGTCTGAAGGGGTCTGCGCATCTGACGTTCCGGTGACTTTATGACTGTTATCTCTGTTTGTAAAATCCCGGTTTGCCGTGCTTGTGGTAGAGCCGTTATTATAGTGAACATACAGCAGAAGTGCAATGACATTGATGATGTAAACGTGGAAGAAAACCATGACCACCATGAAGTAAGAGCGAGAACACACGCTGCTCTTCTGCAGAGAGACGCGCTGACGGGGCAAAGACCGGGGTGGCGGGGATGCTGATGCTGATGCTGAGGTGTCATCCTCTTCAATATTGTCCTGGGGTTCCATCATTTTAGCAAACAACAATTTTATTGGTCGGTTTAAAATAAACTATTCAAATCTGTTTTCAAAATAATATTATGGTAAAATGTATAGCTGGTAGCCTATTTGGCAGGTATTCGACAGATAGAAAACCCGCATTAAAACAAACGTCACTCAGAAAATATCAGCAGCAGACTGGCTGCTAAAACACTACCTTTGTAAAAAAAAAAAAAAAAAAAAAAAAAAAAAAAAAAAAAAAGCTTGTTAACTAACTTACACGAGCAGATACAAAATAATTTCGATAACACTCGCTGCTTTAAACTACGGATAAAGACATTTTGGAAACAATTATTTTCGTCAGTATAAGCGTACCTCCGGCTTGTGGTAGCATGACACTCTCAGGCTTACTCAGCACTTCCAGTTGTCAAATTTCACTCTCTTGTTTACATCGAGACGCGTGATTATAGCAACTGCGCAGCTTCTATTATCCTGCGAACCGTTGCGCCGAAGCACCATTTTGCAATTCGTTCTCATAATCCGTGTTGGGAAGATCTTGTAGTGTCTGCTTATAATAATAATTTGACGTTATATGCCAGCTTTCTTGCATCTCGAAGTGAAAGTGCAGCTGACTGGACTTTCGAAGGACGCCATTCACCTGACAACTGCGGGTGCGGGCATCCTCGACGCACTGCTCATCATAGATATGCATCCTATGGATACGTAGAAGTCAGATTCCACGGCTCCAGATACGTCGGTGCGCCCGCCATCTTGCAACGGTCAGAGAGGGTCGTGGTCGTCACTCTCAACGATGCCACAACATTGCACAACTCTGCTTGTGAAACCGAAGATATTTAATTTCCCAAAGAAATTGGATTGCCTTTCACATGTGAGAATATGTTGGTTTGTGTTTTTATATGTATTGATTTAATATAACAAGTTTTAACAATGGCACATTTAATGTTTTTTTATGTATTTTTTTGTGTTTTTTTAGTCATGACAATGAAACAACATAGTCACAAATGTAACCATATTTAACAGACACAAAAAACACAAAGACATCAGATCACACTATGTTTTATTAGTTACTGGTTCTTGTGGGCATTTTGCTAATAATTTCATATTATATGAGTTTTTGTCTCTTTGCCAGCTCTCATTCCTCAGCCTCTTTTCCCTAGAAACATATATAACATATATTTGCTTAAACAAAATAATAATAATGAATAATAATAATAACAAATAATGATGTTTTGAATACCAAAATGCTTGTGCACAAATAATGAAACCAATAAAAGCGTGATAATTTACCTTCCCGAATTCACGGCTTTTAGCTCTCAGCTTGTTGACCTGAGACTCAGCGATGTCAGCTCTCTCCTGAGCCTCCTCCAGCTCATGCTGCACCTTCCTGAATCTTGTCAGGTGAGTGTTGGCCTGTTCTTCCTGTCAATGAAACAACACTTGTTTAGGTTCGTCATATCCAGAATATTTTGTTGTATATTAAATAGCATAGCACTGATAAAAGTCTAAACTTTTCACTCACCGCATCTTCACTCTGTCTCTTGTAGGCCTTGACTTTCAGCTGAAGTTTGTCCACAAGGTCTTGCAGTCTGATAATATTCTTCTTATCTTCTTCATTCTGAGTAAGAGGGAAACAATTAACTTGAAAGTGTCCTTATTTGATCATTTACCATATCCAACCTATATATTTTTGTTTGATAAGTACCTGATAAGTCAGTTCCTTCATTCTTCTTTCATATTTGCGGACTCCTTTAATAGCATCAGCACTGCGTCTCTGTTCCGCTTCAACTTCGCCCTCCAGCTCACGAACCTGAAAAACAGATTAACTGACATTATTCCAGACTTTATGCTTGTGCTAAAGTAAGTGAATGTACTGTGTGTATGCCACATACTCTGGTCTCCAGTTTCTGGAGCTGCTTCTTTCCACCCTTCAGAGCCAGACTCTCAGCCTCATCCAAACGGTGTTGCAAGTCTTTGACTGTAACCTCCAGGTTCTTTTTCATCCTTTCAAGATGAGCACTCGTGTCCTGCTCTTTCTTCAGCTCCTCGGCCATCATGGCAGCCTGGAATCATTTTGTACTCGGTTACTTTGGATAATGAGAATATGTCAATAATTAGTAGTCAACGGCAGGTTATAGCAGCGTGCGACCTCTGACATATATAGCAATTGTAAGTCGCTTTGGATAAAAGCGTCAGCTAAATGAATAAATGTTATAGAATGTCAAAATATGTGCAACTTAGTGGATGCTTATCCTGCAAATAGTAGCAAACATTGCTAACTCATCAATGAACATTTTTCACTTACATCAGTTATTGCTTTCTTTGCCTTCTCTTCAGCATTTCGTGCTTCCTGGACCATATCTTCCATCTCACCTTGAATCTGCGCAACATCTGCTTCCAGCTTTTTCTTGGTGTTGATAAGACTGGTATTCTGAAAAATAATGTTGTTTAGTAGTTATTTCTTAAAATATTTTTTTAAACCAAATCATTCTTCTTACTTGGGAGTGTAAGAGGGTCACTCGCTCACTGGCATCCACCAGTTCCTGCTCGGCCACTTTGCGGCCTCTCTCGGTCTGCTCCAGAGCAACTCTCAGCTCCTCAATCTCAGCCTGCATCAGGTTGTTCCTGCGCTCGACCATGGCAACCTGCTCTTTCATGTCCTCTTGAACCCTCAGAGCATCATCAAGGTGCAGTTGGGCATCCTGAAGCAAATAAGAGGCAATTAGATCTTCTCATCTAAATAGTCAGATAAAAAATAAACCTTCTGTAATGGAACAAACCTTGAGTTGTCCTTGGACGTTCCTGAGCTGTTTCTGAGCTTCAGCAGCCTGGCGATTTGCATGGCTCAGCTGAATCTCCATCTCATTGAGGTCTCCTTCCATCTTCTTTTTGATTCTCAGGGCATCATTTCGGCTTCTGACTTCAGCATCCAGAGTGCTCTGCATGGAATCAATGATTCTCTGGCTGTTTCGCTTGATCTGTTCAATCTCCTCATCCTTCTCAGCCAACTTCCGATCAATCTCCCCTTTTACTTGGTTCAGCTCAAGCTGAACACGAAGAATCTTGGATTCTTCATGCTCTAGTGTCGCCTGAAAAGTAAGATTGTTTGTAGGGTATTGTTTGCTAGAACAGTGGAGATAATGGAAACTTCAAAGCCCCGTGTGTTACCTCAGCTTCTTCAAGAGCAGCCTGGATTTCAGATTTTTCAATTTCAGCGGTTTTCTTTCCTTTTTCCAGCTCATGGATAGTTTTTCCACTCTCACCAAGCTGCTCAGTTAAATCTGAGATCTCCTCTGTATACACCAAGGGACACATGATTAACAAAGTGTTCAAACTTACTTCTCTGGAGAACAAGCAAAAGAAAATTTCACTGATAATTCTGGAGTAGGCCATTGTACGTACGCTGAAGGTTCTTGTTTTCCCTCTTCAGAGTCTCCAGCTGGTCCAAAGCCTCCTCATAAGAATTCTTCATTTTGAAAAGTTCTGTGCCAAGAGAACGAGTTTCCTTCAGGGATCCTTCCAGCTCTGCCTGACTCTCCTCATACTTCTGCTTCCATTCTGCCAGGACCTTTATGACATCAAAATTGAACATTAGAAACCTATGGTGAAGTCATCACAAAAATATTTTATGTAATTGAAATAATGTTGCTTTACCTTATCAAAGTTCCTTTGTTTCTTGTCAAGGTTGGCAGCCAAAGCATTAGCTCTCTCCACATCAATCATGAGATCCTCAACTTCACCCTGCAGTCGTTGCTTGGTCTTTTCCAAAGAGGCACATTTGGCATTCACAGCCTCAATGGACTCTTCAGCGTCCTGCAAACGCTGAGTAAGCTTTTTCCTAGAATAAAAAATGAAATATTGCTACAACTTTATTTGAAGTTGTGAGAACATTTAAACAGAGGATTTCATTTACTTTGCTTCCTCAAGCTCTTCAGTACGCTGAATGGCGTCAGTCTCATATTTGGTTCTCCACTGAGCCACCTCACTGTTGGCCTTTGACATGCTGCGCTGAAGCTCAGATTTAGCCTCCTGTTCTTCTTCGAACTGCTCTCTGAGCAGATCACAGTCATGACGGGATGATTGGACAGCATGTGCCAGGGCATTTTTGGCCTTTAAAACAATAAAAATATTCCAGAGTTATTCAGTAGGTTCAGTACATAAGTTCATTCATTAAGAATATGCTGATTCCTCACCTTCACTTCTTCCTCAATTTGCCTCTTCAGCTCTTCAATCTGCTGAGTGTGAGCCTGTTTGCTTCGAGTCAGCTGAGAAACTAAAGCCTCTTTCTCCTCTAATTGACGTCCGATTTCACCTAGAAAGGATTTAATGATGATGATCAATAAAGATGATGGTCTCAACAGTAACTGCAATGTTGAATAGGTGTTTACAGAGAACGTAATATTATCCCTTCTGGAAACAAAACTACTTACCATTTTCCGTTTGAAGTCTTGCCTTTTGAGAGCCTAGATCATTGATGTTTCTTACATGTTCATCATGCTTTGTCTTAAACTCGCTCAACTGATCTTCCAGTGTACGACACATCTTTTCAAGATTTGTCTGCCAAACACAAAGATTTTTTTTACACACGGTGTTGTTTTTCATGTCCAATACTCCATAAATATGTTAATACTTGCCTTTGATTTAGCAACAGACTCCATATTGCTTGACAGATCATCAATCTCCATTTTGTATTCACTTTTCTCCTTTTCTAGCTTCTGTTTCACACGCTGGAGGTTGTCGATCTGCTCTCCCAGCTCTGCCACAGTGTCAGCCTGTTTCTTGCGGAGTGCCGCAGCCGTTGCTTCATGCTGCAAGGTGGATTCCTCCAGATCACGGCGTAGTTTTTGGAAATCAGCCTCACGTTTCTTGTTCATCTCAATCTGGGCAGAAGTGGCGCCACCGGCCTCTTCAAGCCTCTCGCTGATGTCCTCAAGTTCCCTGGAGAGATCCGATCGCTGCTTCTCAACCTTAGCACGAGCGGCACGTTCTGCCTCGATTTCTTCCTCCAGCTCCTCAATGCGGGCCTGTGATAGCGTTGATGAGTTACAGTTAATTACTGTTACAGTTAATAAAAAATTAAAAGTGTTTAATAAAAACAGTAGCACTTTTTTGAGTGACCTGAAGTTCTTTAATCTTCTTCTGGAGCTGAACACCAAGAGTTTGCTCATCTTCAATCCTGCTCAGAAATTGACTTGACTCAAAGTCCTTCCTGTTTTGAAAAAAAAGAAAGAAAAACGAGAAATGTTAAAAGTTATTGTTATTCTGAAAGTGAACAAGGGATCAGAATTATAATGTCAAATTGGATAGGATGACAAAATGTTATGAGTTCCTCACTTTTTCAGCTTTTCTTCTAGTTGTTGCTTGTCATTTTCCAGATCCATTATGGATTCTTGGGTTAGTTTTAGGTCACCCTCAAGCTTTCTCTTGGCTCTCTCAAGGTCCATGCGGAGTTTCTTCTCCTGCTCCAGAGAACCTTCCAGCTGTTCACGTATGTGAGAGAAAAGGTTTTTTTTTTTAACCAAAGTATTACTTCCATGTTTCATGATTTCTGCTTCTTGTTGTAACAGTAACTACTGGTTACACCAATCTGTTATTTCAAACTCACGTCATCGACTTGCTGCTCAAGCTTTGATTTGGCTTTCGTCAGAGTATTGACTTTGTCCTCCTCTGCCTGAAGATCATCAAGAG